ATAAGCAAGAATGTGCAGCTGGTGTAATAGATAACAGCTCGGAATTGGAATTGGGCAAGCTAGTTTCAATTCGAATCAGGCTCGTCATATACACTTACGCGCAAAGACCCTTGGGAAATGTACGAATCCACATATTCTCCCACAGCTATGGGTAAATTAGTAGTACTTATTTCGGTTAATCACTCTTATCTCAGACACCACAAAAATCTAAATATATTTTGGTGCTTTCATTAACATTAAAATTTCTAAACCGTAAAAAAGTAAATCAATCAAAACCAATGCCCAAAGAGAATTCTTTGGGGGGGGGATTATTTTTTATTAATTTTATCTCCTTTCCAACAATTCATCTAGTATCAGTTTTTATATATATATATATATATATATATATATATATATATATGTGAAAAGTGAGTATAAATATAAATAAATATATATATGTATAATTATTTATATAAAGCGTGAAACCCAGGGTCACAAACTCACATCTATCTAAAACCAAATATATATATATATATATATATATATATATATATATATATATATATATATATATATATATATATATATATATCATATGATTATTATTTATAACTATAAGCGTATATTTCTAGTTGGTACACCTATTTCAGTTGCTATTCCTATTTCTTATTTTCTGTAATAGTGATAGTAACTGAATTACATCTACTCACTAAAATAGCTTTTATTGTAGCAAGCAATAATATCTGATAAATATCTATTTAAAATACATAGAACATCTATTCAGAAAAGCAAACACTCGCAAATATATTTTGTATATATTTGCTAATAAAAATACATTTCCATTTTTAAATATATTTTAGACGTTGTGTTTCCTGTGTTAATTCATGAGTACTTTTTTTGCTCTTTTGTTATTGTTCTGTTAATTATTAAATATTTTGTACCCCAGATCACAAAATGCAGACCGCAGTTATGATGAAAGTGTGAAAGGAATTTTGTCATTTTAAGATGGCTGGCCGTAGCAAATGAGTGTTTCTTGAAACTTAACAGGTTCTGTTGAAATAGTTAAGTCAAAGACTGAACAAACACATCTTCTTGATCGCTTTTCAGGGCTGGTTTTTAAGCCTATATGTCGCCGTCTATATCACTACAATTGAATTTTCTACTCATTTTGTTTCTCAATAGGAGCAATAATTTTGCCTATCGTACGATTCACACGTCTACCCGGTCTTAGTAAAGGTTTATTCATTGTTTCCGTTTTAGGAATTGGTTTACGTTTCCCTCTAAAATCTTCTTTAATTCCATACTTTTAACGTCTCCCGGTAAAACATTGAAATTTTATTTACTATTTATGCATTTTCCATCAATATTGGTCGCAATGATCGCCAATCCTCCGGTTCTAAATTCTCGTTGTCTTTTCACTTCTTTCTGATCTTTTGAACCAGAGTAAAGGTTTATCCTCTGTAGGATTGAATTTCGGGTTCTTTCTATTAAAAAAATATCTTTTATTTCTCTTTCATTTTCGGTGGCCCGTTGAATTTTGATGGAAGTACTACTTTGCTAGGGGTTGTGTCTATTACTCTGTAACCCTCCACAGGGTGAACAAAATTTATATATATATATATATATATATATATATATATATATATATATATATATATATATATATATATATAAACTTTAATGCACTTAGCCAATGAGAGAGAAATAAGGGAATTCAACTCTAACCTAAAGACGAAAATATCTTTCATTATTTTTTTTGTTTTCACAGAAGTTTTACTGAAAATACTTCCAGTGGACACCATCAGATCGAAGGGAGGGTAGTGTCAAAATGTGCATATGTGTTCGAAGTCAGATATAAAAATTATAAGAAATAGAAGTGCGTAGTATTTTCTTCTGCCTTCGTTGCGACCGTGTACCGTTTTTCGAAGTTGACTGGACGTGTTACCGAAACTGTTAAAAGGAGTCTTAACACTTCCCCACCCAAGGGATAGCTTGAAGCGAGCTCTAATCGGAAATGTAAGCATATTATATCTGTCGATAAATTCCCCTGTTCTAACGTGTTGGAACATAAAAGACTAAAAATCAAGATAAATCTTCCGGATAGCCCAATACTTAGTTTAATGAGGTATTATTCGTAAGTATAACATAATTTTAAACTTTTACACGAGATAATGGATATTTGATGATGATGATGATGATGATGATGATGATGATGATTTATTTTTATATTTTTTTACACAAAGGCTTTTGTACTTTGACTCCATTTGATAAACATTATGATCACTTATCTTATCGGAACTCAATGGGAGGAGAATTCTACTGTAATCTTGTAACGAAAATATCTTTCATTATATTATTTCGTCTTAACAGAAAAATTATTGAAATGAGTTCCATTCGACGCCATTTGATTGAAGGGGAATCAGTATTTGCATACGTGTTCGAAGAGAGATATAAAATACAAAAATAGTTAGCCAAGGACTGTAGTAGTATTTTCTTCTTTCTTCGTTACGACCTTGCTTTCTCTTTGGAAGTTGACTGGATGTGTTACCAAAACTGTTAATAAGAATCTTAACTCTTTATTTCCTAACGTTACTTCTACAAGGAGAATTACTCGGAGGCAACATATAGTGTTTTCTGTTGCAATTCTTTTTGCACAAATGATTACCACCGCCAGACTGCTCAAGTAACAAGTAACAATTCGTTATCATTTCTTTCTATCTTCGCGAGGTTCGCTTTAAATGGTAATAGTTGTCATTGTAGTTTTCTACCTTTCCTTTCCCCAAACAGTCGGACTTAAAATCCAATATATATATATATATATATATATATATATATATATATATATATATATATATATATATATATATATATATATATACTGTAACAACAAATGGCCTCTTCTTTGATGCTGTTCGCATGACCTTTCTGCTTCTCTCGCCTTCGGCTTTCATTTGGCGCCAATCGATCCAATAAACCTACTGGGAATTTCGAACTGAAAAGTTTATTTACTCTACGCTGTTTATATTTATTCTTCGTATATTGAATTAAATATTTATTAACAATTCGTCAGAGGGAAGGCGAAAATAATGAAAAGCCTCTTAATCAAAAACATTCGTTTTTCTTTCCTGAAACCTGCATCAATGTAACACTGAAGACAACATAAATATTATTTAAATTATACAACCAACCATAAACGAAGGCAATTAATGGAACAAAGTTCCAAAGAAATATAACAAACACATTTAACAACCTCAACAATATCAAGGATAAATTAAAATTAATACAAAACAATACAATTTAGTTCTAAACAAACTCTAGGAAATCTTCAAAAATTAAAAACTTGTAACTATTAATATAACATAAATATTGCATAAATAATACAAATAGAAAATATACGTAATTCAGAAAATAATTGCAATTATTCTGAATGCAATGTGACTGAACAACAAATATCTTCTTCAGTTTAAAAGAAATGTTTAATAATTCCACAAAGTAGGTGGAAATTAAAGTCCGCTACTATAAAATTCAAGTATTACTCACAAATAAATGACACTACAACTAGATTTACCTGACTTATTAAAAGTCGAAGTTTTTAGAAATCGATACATTTACGATAAACAAACGCAGCAGACGAACTTCCTCAAAACAAAATATTACAGTTATATGTGCCGACAAAAACAACACCTATGTCATAATTAATAAAAAAAGAGTATGAATGAATCTTGCAAGCAACTTAAATGATAAAAAATTAAAACAATCAATGCGCAGAAGCAGACAATCTTAAGAAATATATTCACCTATAATAGAGAAAGTTGAATTAGATACAAAATAACCTAAAGAAATATATTTAATCTAATATTCACGTACAGTATTTTATGACGAAAAAATATAATATTAAACAATTCTCAAACTGAACTAAATCAATAATATTAAAATTTCATTAAACTAATATAGCTAAACCAATTACCTAATATTGCGTAGAATTCCATATATATATATATATATATATATATATATATATATATATATATATATATATATGATGAAATATATTTTAAAGAATTCTATATCTATGGGATAAAGTGCTCAATATCAGTGCATGGAAATATAAAAGTGAACATTGAAGTCAACACGCACATGTGACAAACTATTTCATGCAAAACGCAATCATCAAGCCACATGCTTTGTGTTTTTCACGACTACATATATATATATATATATATATATATATATATATATATATATATAGGTTAGTGGTGCATTGTGGGTAATCTATTCAAACGGTTAATTTGGCGAGAATCGTTTGTTACTTTTTTATTATTTATTACATTTATTTATTTATTTCGATTAATTTATTTTACATTTTTGCTTATTTATTTTTATTTATTCTTTTCAGTTTGTAATTTTTATGTAAAATAGGAAAAATTGTGTTCGTGTTTGCATTTAGGGATGCGTGCTGATCGTTTATTTAGTAGTTTGTTTTTAGTCCAGGAAAACAAATATGTGGCTTGATTGTCGTCCTTGAGTATTGAATTTAATGTTCACTTATCTATCTATCTATATATATATACACATATATATATATATATATATATATATATATATGACTTAAAGATCAAGTGCAGGTCAAATGTATTGTTTCACTTTATTAAAGCTTCGTCAGGGATGTCTTTTGATAAAAAACAAACAAAATCTCTAAAAACAGAAAGATCCAATAACGCAATAGCAACGATACATTCTAGCACTTTCCGACTCATGTGACACAATAATCATCTTCATTCGGCGTTCATTAAAGATTGTGCGCATCTTTTATCTCATAGATATGTAGCTACTGTAAACAACGATGTGTCACAAGCTGGCTGAAGATGGGTGTAATACGACCGGACGTGTAACAGTTTTTTCACAATAGTCAGGGGTTACGCTGGGGCAGATCCCAGGCAGTGGTTCTCGGCCTTCTTTGCTCGAGCACACATCTTTTAACCGTTCCAATTTTTTGTTGTAAGCATGCCAATCCCTCGTAAGATAGATTACTCAGCTCGTCTATCGATGAAGAGCGCAGACTGCCGTGAGAATTGACGCGAACTGCAAGACTCGGTGAATATCGACACCTCGAACGCACATTACCGCCACGATAGCCCTTGTCTCAAGTCGCCGTCCACTCAATATATGGAAAATTGCATGTCTTATTCCTCAAAAGTCGAGAAACGTCTCACTGTACCCGCGTCTTTTTGTCTTTCTCACGAGGAGGAAAACGTGACGTCGCAAGAGAGATTCCCTTTGTCTCCGGCGTGCAATATCGCAATATTGAAACTAGCAAAATGAGTCTAAGAAAATTAGAACTATGATTAAAAGGATGTTTTATTGGCGGACATAATGGCAAACAGAAATGATACTGAGACTCTTTGATAAAGTCGAAACGGAAAGCAAAAAAAGCTATTAACTGTAAGTAGAAAGAATGCATGCTTCTCAGGACGACAGACAATGCAGGCTCTAGACTACGTACTAGGCACAGAAATTTACCAATCTCAATATTGTAGAAACAGTCGACAGAATATGCGATACAATAATTAGAATTTGCACATAAATCGAGAAATATATCTTCCAGAAACTAAGCAAAATTCTAAGAGTTAAACAAATGCATTTGCAATAAAGAAAAGTGTGTTGAACTACTATGTGATCTCTTATATGGCTGTGAATGCTGCACAAGAAGTGACTACTATATTTTCCTATCAATGAATGCTAAAAATACGATGATCCGGATATTTGATCAACGGAGATATACAAAGAAATATATGAACTGTAATGAAGCTTATACTTAAAGAAGAAAAACGCAGTTGAAATTTATTGGCACATAAAAAAAATACCTTAAGGTCATTTAAGGCACACACAAAATAAAAGGGAAGAACGAAGAGGCAGCAAATAACATCATTAACGAGTCTGTGTGAATGGATAAGAGAACAGAGGAAAATAAATATGTTAATGTATAAATATTTACATAATGCTACTTAAATAGCTGGACATTGAACAAGGAATAATTATTGTAACAGCTGGAAAAACTCTCTTTTAATAAAAAGTGCTTCCCTCTGTCTTCGTAGTGTTTCAAAGTATATGACTTCCTTAAGTATGTAATCATATTGTATGTTATCCACGAGAAACATGACTTTTGCGTCCAAGAACACAGCGGCTAGCAATTATCTTGATCAAATTTTACAAGCATTGATACTTTCCGGCCATGGAATCAACCTTTGTCTCTGAGGAAACAGAAGGCTGTTAGATATTATCCTTTGTTAGCATACGCCCCAGAATTTTTCCACTAGCACTCAAATATTGTTCCAAGTTGAAATTCTCATATGTTGAAATTTTTTTTTTCTAAAAATTGCTTCGAGATCTAAATTGGATTTTCCTCATATCAACTCCATGTTTATCCATTCTTAGGATTCTTTTTTTTTTATGTGTCATGACCTTTCAAGACGTAGGCGATCACGTCTTTCCACTGCTTCCAATCCCTTGTGGCGTTCAATAAATTTCCTGTATCTGCCAACTCCTCCAGACCACGTTCTGCCAGCCACTTGCTTAGGCCCGGAAGGTATGTCATGCGTTGCTTTCCCTTGTCTTTTACCCTCTATTCGACCTGTGAGTATCGGATTCGTCAGGCCTTCATTTCTCATTAAGTGTGCCAGAAATTCCATCTGCCTTTTCATTATGTTAAGTATAAGTAGTCATATTCACTGTTTTTTTTACCATAGCTCATGTTACATTTTTTTACTGTTTGCTCTATCATCCAGCATTACTGGTTCCCATGTTGTATTCATTTCTATGCTTGGCCGTCTTAGATGATTTTTGTGGCCTAGCTGATGCAGCTGTGATAAAAAGTTGTTATATATGAATAAAGTGCTGTTGCCGACACTGGAGTATGAACATAGATCGCCAGTGATCAAACCCGGGCGATCCCATTTTGAATTAAATAAACCACATGATAATAAAACAAACGCATAAATGGGAATTAGCGTTGCGCCTAATTGATCACTATTTCTACACTGTCCTCTATTACTGTAGGGATCGCTATTCTCTACAATATTCACTATACTATTTATCTATTCGGATCACTATACGCATTACTGTTCGGATCTTTATTCAGTGGTTATTTTCGAGTGAATATTATCGAGCAAGTATCATTAGCGCGAATGATATTCGAAGGCGTTGTTCAACGGCGTTACTATAGCTGTATCTGCGATTACAAAGTCTCTACTACAACGAGCATTACAAAAGTGACAACGAGTATTCGTTGACATCACAAAAGAAATATAAAGTACAAACAGTTCGCTCCTTTAACATAAGACTGTGGGAATATCGTAAATCTCTAACACGAGGGGAAACAGAAAAATCATGCGTGACTGACGATACAGGGAGAGATAAAAGGGTAATTACCGTTCCCCGGTGGAATGAGATTTAAATAATGGAAAATACAAAAACTTAAGAAATCGTGTGTCAGTGCGTTTCGGTCTGATTATCAATTTCTGCATATTTATGTATAAATAAAGACAAGTACATACATTTTGCCATTTTTCCCATTCTGAACATATGATTTGAACAGATGAACCAGTTACTTATTGCTGGATAGTATAATTTATATCTATCTACAGTTCTGTGCATATGCCGAAAATCATTCTTAAATACATATAAATGCACATGAAATAAAATCGTGTTATAAGCATATCTTTAATTTTTTTTTTTTTTAATCCGTGTAATGAGCATTTTTATAGGAATTCCAATCGATTTTGGACGGCTAAAAATTCTTCTTTTCTATCTCTCCAAAATAAACTCCAATGAAGAAAGCTCATAATATAACTACGTATGATTTCAGTTCTCTCTACAGAAAACCGACTGGAGATAATGGAACTGATAATCTTAGTGCTATTGTTGATTGTGTGCATTGAGGAAAACAACAGAAATAGAAGGTATCGCACTGTCCATAGTGCATCTCATTTTGGGTAAGCTCATCTGATAAAAGAATCCTATTGTCAAATAGGCAATCTGGTGTTTAAGCATCTTATTGCCATTCCGCTGTTTATTGACCCTTCACTAATTTGGGCTAATCTTAATCTGTACTCATTTGAATGTAATTACGTAAGGAAACCGCTGAAATCTGATCAAGCAAAATTCAGATAATTTACTTTCCTAAAACGTTTCATTGAAGACGGATACAACTCAAATGATGGAGGCAAATTTGGTAAATCATTTAAGGACATAATTCCTCTTGATCTATAGTGGAAATATAAACACCACGGGCGAAGGAAGCGGTGAATTTTTATTTTATTTATTTTTTCTTTCGTCTCTCACCTAGCCTATTTCATTTAGATACTGTTTTTCTTTTTGTTTCTATCAATTTTCTTATTAGATATCCGACGGCGTGATAATAGACGATCTGAAAGAAAGGGTGAAATGTTGTAAGAGCCAGTACGCATAGGATGACTGACAATGACCTTGCGATCAAGTCACACTCGAAACATTTTCGTCGTAGTAAACTGTTTCTCCTTTGATCAGAGAAGCATTTTTCATGTCAATATTGTGGTCAGTCTCGTTACGGTGAAGAACTAATGCATTTGATTTATTGTTTTGTAAAGTGTCCGTTTTTTGATCATTTTTTAATAAGAATTTCACGCAAGAAAAGCGAGAGAACCAGTAACAAAGAAGGTGTTAGGGAGAGTAAGAGAAAAAACTGGGTATAGGATGGGTGAGGAAAGAATAAAAAAGAAGAGGGATCAAGACATCAGAAGATGTCGATTGTCATTACATTTAAATCTCTGAAGATTATAGTTATCAGGGAAGCGAGTAAGAAGAAGGGAGTTCCACTATCGGGAAGAAGCTGTTGGGGTAGATGTGGTTACATAACGGTTTCAACAGTAAAGGGTGGCACCGAAATGCCAACCTAGTAGCACGGTTAAATTCATACAGTCAGGGCACCAGTGAAAATAGATCGTCAGGGCATTTGCCATGAAAATATTTGTAGAAAAGACAGAGTAGCAATATCACGTTTGTGATGAAGCGAGTGGAATCGCGATGCCAAGTGAGGACCGATCACATTGCATATCCGTCTTTGGATTTTGTCGAGAGCCTCGTGAGGGACACCGGGGATAGCAGAACATATATGGCAACGGTATTCCATGCATGGACGGATCGTAGATTTGCAGATGTGAAGGACGCATTCAGACGAGAAAAATCTTCGGGAGTGACACAGAGAACTAACTTTCCTTGCGTTACATGTAGCTATTGATTCAATGTAGTTGTTCCACCACAGCGCAGTGGAAAATGTGAGACCAAGAAGTCGAAGTGAGATGAGCTCGTGTAGTTGAGCATCAGCCATGCTGGCTAAATAAGAGCAGTTTCGTTTTGGATGCATTCAAATTTTCAAGTCATTTACTGTTCCAGTCATCCACAGATTGGAGGTCCTTTTCGCGACCAATGGCCAAGTTAACTTTGTCAGCAATGCCGGATTTACTGTTGAGATAGTATACGAAGAAAATGGTACTGTCCTCTGCGTAGACGCCTCCTTGAGAACGGATAACATCAGGAAGATCATTGATGAAGATCAGAAACAGTTTAGGACCAAGGATAGAACGTTGGAGAACAGCAAAGTTCGTATGAAATAAAGAGAACCCGTTCAGGACGACATTTATTTCTCGCTTTGACAGGAATGATTGGATTAAATCAAATAATCGTCCGATAATAACTTATCCCCGAAGCTTACGTAGAAAGCCGGCATGCCAACCCTTTCAAAATCCATAGATTATTAAGAGCTTGGTATACATATTCATTTATGGCCGTAAGCACATCAACAGTAAACTGGGCAAAGCGGAAACCAGATTATTTGTTAGATAGTAGATTGTGGGAGGTAAGATACTTAGCCACTTCGACATTGATTAAAGCTTCGAAGACTTCACCGAAGAGTGGTAGGAGACTAATAGGACTGTATTTAGATGGGCCAGAAGAGTCTCCAGAGTTCTCAAAGAAAGGGACAGCATTGGATGAGTTCCAACAGGTTGTAAAGCAAGAATAAGCGAGGCAATAGTTGTATAGTTTGGAGAGTACTGGAGCCAGCTCAGGGACGTCTTTTTGGCGTGTATTCCGTCA